TTCAAACAGGTCAGACAGGTCAGATACTGCGACAGAAAACATTCAACTCTCACAAATCCTGCAGAAAGTCAAACTTTTTTCCACCTTTTCCACCACAGGATAAAAAAATTATAATAATTGAGACTTTTTCTTTTATATATCTCACATATTTTTATATCTCACAATTCTGAATTTATATCTCGCAATTCTAGTTATATATATATTGCAATTCTTAATTTTAAATCTCATGATTTTTTATTTAAAATCTCACAATTCTTCATTTGAAATCTTGTAATTTTTCATTTTAAATCTCGCAATTCTTAATTTTGAAAATTTCACAAATTTTAAATCTCATGATTTTTAATTTTAAATCTCTCAATTGTTCATTTTAAATCTCGCAATTCAGAGTTATATATATATTGCAATTCTTAATTTTAAATCTCATGATTTTTAATTTATAATCTCACAAGTTTTCATTTTAAAACTCGCAATTCAGAGTTTATATCTTGCAATTCTTAATTTTAAATTTCATGATTTTTAATTTTAAATCTTGCAGTTCTTTATTTGAAATCTCATGATTTTTTTATTTAAAATCTCACAATTCTTCATTTTAAATCTCATGATATTTCATTTAAAATCTTGCAATTCTTCATTTGAAATCTCACAATTCAGTTTATATCTTGTAATTTTTCATTTTAAATCTCGCAATTCTTAATTTTGAAAATTTTAAATTTTAAATCTCATGATTTTTAATTTTAAATCTCTCAATTGTTCATTTTAAATCTCGCAATTCAGTTATATATATTGCAATTCTTAATTTTAAATCTCATAATTTTTCATTTAAAATCTCACAATTCTTCATTTGAAATCTTACAATTCTTCATTTGAAATCTCATGATTTTTAATTTGAAATCTCGCAATTCTTCATTTGAAATCTCATGATTTATTTGAAATCTCGCAATTCTTCATTTGAAATCTCGCAATTCTTAATTTCAAATCTCATGATTTTTAATTTAAAATCTTGCAATTCTTCATTTGAAATCTCGCAATTCTTCATTTGAATTCTTACAATTCTGAGTTTATATATGGCAGTTCTGACCTTTTTTCTCAGAAACGTGAGAAAAGGTCTCTATAGCTTTTTGATTTTTTTATCCTGTGGCAGAAACAGACTGATCTGATGGAGGATGACGCTGACGAACCATCCTGCTGAAGGAGTGTCTGAGGAGCACAGCGTGACCGTACAGTAACGTCCGGTGTCCTCCGCTCTGAGCCGCCTGAAAACACAGCGATTACAGTCACTCCATCATCAGACACACACAAATCACAACATGATGACAGTGAGAATCACTCACCTTTCTAATGAACTGCTGCGGGAGGCGTGAAGAAACAACAGAAAACAGCATGAGACGTTTGCTTTTGATGATAAACACTCATCATTACACAACAGACACACCATGTGCAATTAACATTATACATGTTTCCCACGCAGCAAAAAAATATATATTTCATTGAGCTTCACTGTTTACAACATATATTTAGCATATATGTTTTGACGATTAAAAACATCTATCCCAGTGATCTCTCTCAACCCTGTCCAGCGATGGCAAACGCGCTCCAGGAGACCGAAGGTCATCAGACTAACAGCAGCCGATGAGGAGACCTTTATGATCCACGGGGGGCAAAAGCAGAGTCGGCTGGACCTTAAAGACATCTGACCTTTAAACAAAAGCCCTGCAGCTTCAAGCAGATCATGAAGAGACACTACAGACCTACAGACTGATGCTGGTGCGACTAAACCGCCCGCAGACTATCAACACCGAGACCCTGAACCTCAGATTACTCTATAAATATAAAATATATTTAAACAATTATGCATTGATTTTCCAAACCAATTGAACTATGTAGGATCAATCCGTCTTATTTTAGTATCATTGATATAATATTTTAGTTTTTCTTAATATTTTGAATTTATTCTTTTTATATTTTCTTTATTAGTTAAAGTTTTAGCAATTTTGTTGTGTTTTTGTCATTTTTATTAGTTTTTGTTTTGTTATATATCTATATTGTGTTTATTAAGCTTTAGTTTTAGTTACTTTAGAACTTCAGCTAACAAAACAAAAATGAGAAATGTTACTTTGGCAAGTAGCTGAAACAAAACAAGTTTACATTTATTTCAGTTAATGTTTATTTTATAGCTTAATTTTATTTCAGTTAATTTCTATTTTATTTCAAGTAATGAATATATAATATAATATAATATAAAATAATATAATTTAATATATAATATAATAGCTGAAATGAAACGAGTTTAAATTAATTTCAGTTCAATTTATTTATTTCAAGTAATGAATATAAATGTTATTTAATGAATATATATACATACTTTTTTAGATGTAATATTACATTCATTTTCCAAACTAACTGTCATATATTTGTAAGTTAAGTAAAAAAATCTAATGCCCTGACTGAGCCAGCAAAAATGAAATATGTATTTTAAAAACGAGTGCACGTCACTGGTCTTCACATCAGACCGGCTCACAGAAACCCAACTTCTTCTGAAGCTCCTGGATGAGAGTTTGTTCTGACAGCTTCGTTTATTACTGAGCACGAGATATTCTGACCGAAGCAAATGAATCACTGTGCTGATTGGCTACAAGTTTGTTTTGCTATTCGGCCCGAATCAGATCAAAAATCGCTTACCCCACCTTTAAACCCACGGCTTCACGTCACAATATTGATGCTGATTGTTCATCTGTGTTTGGCGTGTTTTCATACGTACGTCGTTGTTTTGTCCGGTTTTGGCGAGCATCTCCTGCAGCGCGCGGACAGACAGCGACTGCTCCAGCACAAAACTACAGATGCACAGATCTGGAGGAACATACTGAAACACACACACACAATATAACAAAGAAATCACACGCAAACTCTGCTTCAGCATCATAAACGGCACATTTTCATTTCACAGCCACTGAAAACACAAAACACAATGATTACGATAAATGCATAAAAACACATGATTCCTCTTCATTTCTATTTAGATGCACCTGAACACACAGCAGTGCTGAATTACTGAAATTACACTGACATTCATGCATTTGACAGACGCTTTTACCAAGGCACTGAATGCACTCATTCCTCTCAGTTCATGCATGGAATCGAACCCATGACCTTGGCGTTGCAAGCACCATGTTTTACTGCTTGAGCTACAAGAAAACCCTGCATTATCTCTTTAGAACTACAATATATCGTTTTTAATATATTAATATAGGTTTAATATTATGTGCAAAATACAAAACTCTGAGTGTCTGTGTGCAAGTAGTAGTTTTCAGCAACCAAAAATATTCGGCCAAAAATTTATTTTCCGTTTCAGTCGGAAAAGTTTTGAAGGAAATATTCGTTCCACTTTTACTTAACATGTTGCTTTCATTATTTGAATAAATCTGTCATGAATACAAGATTTAGTACAGCCACTGTTTAAATGTTTATATTTCAACAAAAATTGATATATCATTAAAGAGTGGATTTTTTTTGTCAATTAATTTTTTTTGTACAAACAGTGTTACTTTAGTATCATTGAAACAAATTAAAATGAGAAACTAGCTGAAATAAAGTTGCTTATATTTTACTTAATTTCAGTTTTTGTTTATTTTATTTCAAATATTTTTTTTATTTTAGTTTCAGCTTTAGTTTTAGTTAACAATAATAACCCTGTGTGCAACTTTTTATTTGAGTGTTAATTATAAAATGCATTTAATTATATAGTTATTAAATAAACTTTACTCTCAGTTTCTTTGGTAAATATCACGCATGTTTGAGCATCAGATCTTTCTTGCACTTTAACAACAACAAAACATGACTGTGAAAATGTGTATTTTAAAACATGAAATAACTGCAAGACCCTCTAATAACCCGGCATCCATAAGTGTTCAGAGAATGAACTAGAGTTCATTATGCAGAAGGAAACTGAAGGTTCGAGTGTGATTTAGAGCCGCTCTCGTGCTCGGAGCAGGTTTGGGATTGAAGCCAAAGAGGCCAGAAGATCCCGCTGACAGTATGAGGTGAGCAATGAGAAGATAAATGAAGCACATACAACAGCAAACTGGCCTCCTTTACAGGAGAACAGCAAACAAAAACTCATGAAAGTGGATCACGATGTCCAGATAATCCAGGTCTGCTGGAGAAACTCTCTCAGAGCTTCAGCTCTTTGTTATTAGGACACGACCTGCTGAAGAACCTTCAAGAGATTCTTTCTAGCAGTCGCACTTCTGAACTAGTTGCTTTGACCCTGTAAACTCACCAGGGTTATTATAAAAACAAACAAAAAAATAAAACATTTCTTATAAAATTACATACAAAATATTCTCTCTCTCTCTCTCTCTATATATATATAATATAAAACATTTAAAATTAAATATTTATTATTATTAAAAAAAATAAAACCAGTCACACTTCTGAACTAGAATATATATATATATATATATAAAATATTTAAAATTATTATTAGAAAAACTAAAACCATTAAAAACATTTTCGTTACATTAAATACATTTAAATTAAATTAAATAAAAAAAAATTTTTAAACTAAACTTGCCAGCTAGTTTCTCATTTTCATTTATTTTAACCTGATGTATTAAAATTTCTAAAACTGAAATAAAATATTTTTAAATCATATTATTATTAATAATAATAATGACAAAAACAAACAAAACAAAATGACTAAAAATGAATGTATAAAAACAAATATATCATAATTTTATAGAAATATATAGAGAATATAAAACAGAACATATTTTTTACAATTCTAAATATTAATAAAAACTACAAAATATAATACAATATCTCAGTTATACTAAAATAACAATAGATCCTGCAGCAAAAGTCTGAAGATGACTTGATGATTTTAAACAAGACAAAGCAAGCATTAAAATGCTAAAACAACTAAGATTAAGATATTTCTCGTTTCAATTCACTCCAACAACCTGATATTAAAATAGAGTTCTAGACCTGTAAAAATCATGAAAAGTAATAAAATATTAAAACACTATGGGCATTCCAGTTATGCCAAGATCTAAAACATTAGAGAAATTCTGAGTGAAAAATATTTATGAAAATCCTTGTCTTTAGCAGGGAAACTGGATGCATTTCTAAACGAAGAGCATTGTATCGATGTTCACGGCTCATCACATGAAGAGTAGCTCTACGATACAAACGAGCCAGAGCTTCTACATATCAATGCATGTTGTTGATAAATCAATACGTAAAAAAACTTATTTTTTAAGGGAACAATCACACCATTTTTCTTCCAAGTTTTAGTTTTAACAGTAAACCTCTGTTGTGCAAGACTTTGTTTGCCAAAAAAATGAAAGGGTTTGTTTAATTTTAATTTTTAATAAGATATAAATTCAATTAATGTTTTATGCCTGCATTTGATTACCAGAAAAATTTAAAATACACAACAAAATATTGTAAGTACATAAATTAATTAATATTATATTATTATAAAAAATATTATAAAAATAAAGTCTGTGCACACATTCTGCAATGATAAACAGTAGTAAATCAAAATGTAAAATTTAAATAAATTTCAAATCAAATCTCTTAAAATAAAATCTTATAAAATCTTTTAAAATAAAAAATCGAAATAAAACACTTTATTAATTCATAAAAATCTAAAATTAAAATATATATTTTTTAAATAAATTAAAATGAAACACTTAATTAATTCATAAAAATCTAATTAAAATAAACATTTAAAAAAAAAAACACTTAATTAATTCATTAAAATGTACAATTAAAATAAATACTTTTAAAATAAAAATGTAAAATAAAACACTATTAATTCATAAAAATATAAAATTAAAATAATTACTTTTAAAATAAATTAAAATAAAACGCTTAATTAATTAATAAAAATATAAAATTTTAATAAATAAATTTTAAATAAAAACCAATCAAAATAAAACTAATTATTAATTCATAAAATATACAATTAAAATAAATTTAAAATAAAAACAAAACAATAACAATTATTTCATAAAAATAAAACTTTTTAAAATAAAAACAAAACAAATAAAACAATTCACTCATAACAATATAAAATTAAAATAAATACACTTAATATAAAACAAATCAAGATAAATCACTTAAAATTAAATACTTTTAAAATAAAAACAAAATAAAACACTTACTGACAATTAATTCATAAAAATATAAGATTAAAATAAAAACTAATCAAAATGAAACACTTACTAAATATTTAATTTGTTTAGCTGCATGTCATGTGACCATTAACGAACATCAGAGAATCATTAATATGGGAATGTGTTGCTAAATTATTGAATTTGCGATCAAAGGTCTTGAGAAAGGTTTGGGTGTATGTACATGTGTTTATCGTCTAACAGTCATCGATCATGAGCGAGTCCTGCTGAAGTGTTTTAAGCGGTCAGCTCATCAGCTGTGAAAGTGGATCATTAGTTCTCTTTCTCCCTGAGGAGCGACGCTTCTCATAAGAATAGAAAACGCACAATGAAGCCAAAGCAGCAGCGGAGATACATCATCCCCGTCTCAGCTAATTAGCATCACATCCGGCTCTGAGATCAGAACTAAAGCCGGTGAGGACAGTGAGCACGTCTCCATCCACAGCTCAGGACGACAAACACGCAGACAAAGCTAAAGCGCGCGCTAAAGTCAACGAGGAGCGATGTGGAAGAATCCAGTTAGTCGCATCTATGAGCTCGACACAGAAACTTCACACCAACAATAACTATGACGATAACTACAGTCATAACTATGATAAGTTATAACTACAACTATAACGGTAACTATAAAAATAACGGTAACTAGGTTATAAACAAAAACCACAACGATAACTATAATACCTACAACAATAACTATAACGATATCCACAACAACTATACTAACTATAACGGTAACTATAATGACGACATTAATGATAACCACAACGACAACTATAACCATGACAGTAACTATAACAACTATAACGACAACGCTAACCACAACAACAACTATTACGACTATGACAATAACTATAATAACCACAATAACTATAACGAAAACTGTTATGATAACTATAATGACAACTAAAATAACTATAACGATAAATGTAATAACTATAACAATTATTACAATAACCACAATGACAACTATTAGAACTATGACAATTAAATATATATAACGACAACCATAACGATAACTGTATTAACTATAACTGCAACAATAACCACAACAACTATGATAACTATGACAATAACTATAACAATAACCACAATAACAATAATGATAAATGTAATAGCTATAATGACAACTATAACTACAACAATAACTATAACGATAACCACAATAGCTACAACTTTAACTATAATGATAACTACAACAATAATAACAACAACCACAATGTTAACTATAATGATAAGTATAACAATAACTATAACGATAACTATAACTACAACTATAATGACGACATTAATGATAACCACAGTGACAACTATAACCATGACAATAACTATAACAATAACCACAGTAACTATAACAATAAATATAACAACTATAACTACAACTATTACGATAACTACAACGCTAACCACAACAACTATTACGACTATGACAATAACTATAATAACCACAATAACTGTAACGAAAACTGTTATGATAACTCTAATAACAACTAAAATAACTATAACGATAAATGTAATAATTATAACAATAACTATTATGATAACCACAATGACAACTATTAGAACTATGACAATGAAATATAGCTATATAACGACAACCATTACGATAACTGTATTAACTATAACTACAACAATAACCACAACAACCATGATAACTATGACAATAACTATAACAATAACCACAATAATTATAACGATAAATGTAATAGCTATAACAACAACTATAACTACAGCGATAACTATAACGATAACCACAACGAAAATAACTATAATGATAACCACAATAACTACAACTTTAACAATAATGATAACTACAACAACAATAACAACAACCACAATATTAACTATAATGTTAAGTATAACAATAACTATGACGATAACTATGATATGACCATAGCAATAGCTAGAACGATAACTATATTAGCATCCAAACCAGCAGACGATATTTCGTTCTGTTTATTATAAGCGCGTTCTGCAGTTGTGTCGTCTGTCGCTTTACATGTTCAAGATCTTTAAAGTCAGTGGATTCTGATTGGCTGTCAGTGTTTTTATCGTTCATCAAATGGAAAAAATCATTCTATAGTTGTAGAGGTGGACTCACTATTCTCTGAGAATGATTACTAAAACTTTATGGTTATAGATATGGTTATAGTTATCATCCATGGTGTGAACGAGCCTTAAAGGGTTAGTTCACCCAAAAATGAAAATTAGCCCACAAATTACTCACCCTCAAGTCATCCTAGGTGTATATGACTTTCTTCTTTCAGACGAATCCAGTCGGAGTTATATTAAAAATTAGGGATGCACCGATACCGATACTGGTATCGGTATCGGGCCCGATACTGGTCTCCTGTACTCGTACTCGTACTCGTTAAACTGCCCCGATACCAAAATCATCGTCCTGACGGAAACAAACCAGAAATCACAGACACTGCTATTTAATGAACGCTCAAATCAAGCAGAAGTCCTGAATAAAAGATTATTATTTCTTTGTGAGGTTGAGATTTTCATATCGATACATGTTGACACTTTCATCCCAGTATACACAGTGTATTATCACTGTATTGAATTAAATTACAAAAATAGGTTAAAAAGATAAAAAAAATTTAAAATAACAAAAAAGAACATTTAAATGCACATACACACACACACACGCACAAAAAAAGTATAAAGCAAGAAAACGTTCCAAACAGATTAAAGTGCAAATATAAAGAACACTAATGAACTAGGAAAAACAGACTTAATATTTTGCTTTTCTGCGATGTATATCGTGATATGAAAAAAATACAGAAATTTTCAATCAATCATCCTAGAGTTAATGGAGGGATTTTGTCGGGGAGTGCATGTGCATAGAAAATAAAAATAATTTTAAAAAATTGAAGAAAAAAAAAAACAGGTTTAAAAAACATTTTATCCTTTTAATAGGCCGAATTCCCACTGTTTTTGACCAATTCAGTATGACTCTAAAATAATAATGAGTTTATTGTGATTATTGATTATAATACTGAGATTGTAATATTATGAAAAAAAATATTAAGCAAAATAAGAAATATATTGTAATACTGTAACAAATACTGTAAAATTAAAAAAAGTGAAGTAAAAATTTTACTTTAAAATTACTAACAATTATGTTTTTTTGTTTTTTTAAACCATCAAGCTTTTATTTTGACGGGTTGCCAGCAAACAAAAACATTAGAGCGTCTCAGAACGGCTGGATTTACAGTGAATTAACCAATCCTTTATCAGACGCTGAAATACTGTACGATGAACTACACATTTAATGAACATGAACTACATTTAATTAAATCAAATCGCACTAAGCCATAATCGCGCTATCGCCTCTATTTCGATATATCGTGCAGCCCTAATCTGAACATTTTCAACCAATATCTAGATCTCTTTCTCAGAAGGCTGCTTTGTGTTCAGGTTTGTTTCAGTGTTAGAGAGTGAATTAAACCCGATGACTGAATACAGACACATTCAATGACTGAAACATGATCAAACGTTCTGCTGTTTCAGAATCACACTGAATTGCTCCATATGGAAGCGCAGTTTGTGTGTGTGTGTGTGTGTGTGTGTGTGTGTCTGTGTGTGTGTGTGTGTGTTTCTCTGGTGAATGTGCTGATGCTCTCAAGTGCCGCAGAACAATATCCAGATGCTTCATTTAATCGGGGGAAGTTCTGCAGCATCTCACCGTCTGCTTTATTAAATATAAACCTCTAATTTACATCTGCATTGTGCAGCACTGACGCATTACTGAGGGTCAAAGGTCAACGGATCACACACCTTCCTCTGCCAATGAGATCAGCAAAAATAATGAAGAGTATGATGACAGCGGCTGTGGTTAATTAATGGAGAGGGGTTACACAGATCTGTATGATTACAGTGTAACTAACAAGTACGGTCAAGTCTCATTTCATCTTATATTCATACATGCATACATATGTGTGTGTGTGTGTGTGTGTGTGTGAGAGAGAGTGTGTAAAAGTGTGTGTGTGTGTGT